ATGAACGGGGCAACCAAAAAACGAAACAGATATCAAGCATTACGTGGAGAAAAATGAAAATGTAAACAAAATTGTTCAAAAATCTTTGGGATGAAGCAAAAGCTGTTCTAAGAGGGAAGTTTATAGCAAGCAATACAGGCCTACCTCAAGAAGCAAGAGAAACCCCCAAAAAACAATCTAACCTTACACCTGAGTAAGACAAAGAAGAACAAACAAAACACCAAACCAGTAGAAGGAAAGAAGTAATAAAGATTAGAGCAGAGAGGGGCACCTGTATGGCTCAGTTGGTTGGGCATCAAACTCTTGGTTTTAGATCAGGTCACGATCTCAAGCCCAGCATTTGGCTTCACACTGAGCACAGAGCTTGCCTGAAATTCTCTCTCTGCCCCTCCCTTGCTCATGGACACTCTCTCTCTCTCAAAATAAAAGAAAAAAGATTAGAACAGAAATAAACAATATACAAACTGAAAGAAAGAAAGAAAGAAAAAGAAAGAAAGAAAGAAAGAAAGAAAGAAAGAAAGAAAGAAAGAAAGAAAGAAAGAAAGAAAGAAAGAAAAAGAAAGAAAAGAAAGAAAGAAAGAAATGAAAAGGAGAAATAACCACTCAACAAAAATACAAAGGGTTATAAAAGATTATGGAGGGGCGCCTGAGCGGCTCAGTTGGTTAAGCATCCGACTTTGGCTCAGGTCATGATCTCACAGTTTGTGGGTTCGAGCCCTGCATTGGGCTCTGTGCTGACAGCTGAGAGCCTAGAGCTTGTTTGAGATTCTGTGTCTCCCCCATCTCTGCCCCTCCCCCACTCGTGCTGTTTTTGTCTCAATAATAAATAAAAACATAAAAAAACTTATTTAAATAAAAGATTATGGAAAACTGTATGCCAACAAACTGTACAACCTACAAGAAATGGATAAATTCCTAAAAACATATAATATCCCAAAACTGAATCAGGAAGAATTAGAAAATTTGAACAGAATGATTACCTGCAATGAAATTGAATCAGTCCTCAAAAAACTTCCACAAACAAAAGTTCAAGACCAGATGGCTTCATAGATAGGTAAACTCAACCAAATATTTAGAGAGTAGTGAATAACTGTTCTTCTCAAACTATTCCAAAAACCAGAAGAGGAAGGAAAGTTCCAAATTCATTTTAGGAGGCCTGTATTTCCCTGATACCAAAACCAGATAAAGATACATATTGCAAAAAAAAAAAAAAAGAAATACAAGCCAATACATTTTAAAAAATTATTCCCCACAATCAAGTGGGATTTAATCCTGAGTTGCAAGGGTGGTTCAAAATTCACAAATCAATGTAATATATTACATCAATAACAGAAAGGATAAAACCATATGATCATGTCAATACACACAGAAAAATCATTTGAGAAGGTACAAGATCCATTCCTGATAAAAACCCTCAACAAAGTGTGTTTAGAGGACACGTACCTCAACATAATAAAGACCACATATGAAAAACCCACAGCTACCATTATACTGAATGGTGACAAACTGAGAAATTTCCCCCCTTAGATCAGAACAACACAAGTATGTCCAATCTCACCACTTTTATTCAATATAGTACTAGAAATCTTAGCCACAGAAATCAGACAAGATGAAGGAATAAAAGGCATCCAAATTGGTAAGGAAATAAAACTTTCACTACTTGCAGATAACATGGTACTATATGCAGAAAACCCAAAGACTCCACCAGAAGTGGAGAGCTAATAAATGAATAAATGAATTCAGTAAGGTCACAGCACACAAAATCTACATACAGAAATGCACCGGATTTCTTTCTCCCTTCCCTCTTCCCCTCCCCCAACTCACAACCCAACACAGGGCTTAAAGTCATGACCCTTGGGCCTCAACTCCTGACCTTGAAGTCAAGACCTGAGATGAAATCAAGAGTTGGACACTTAACCAACTGAGCCACCCAGGCACCCTCCCACTGTATTCTATACACTAACAATGAAGCACAGCAAGAGAAATTAAGAAAGCAATCCCATTTACAATTGCATCAAAAATAAGGTACTTAGAATAAACTTGGTCAAGGAGGTGAAAGATCTATACTCTGAAAACTATAAAATACTGATGAAAGAACCTGAAGATAACAAAAACAACTGGAATGATATTCCATACTCATGGACTGGAAGAACAAATACTATTAAAATGTCCATACTGGAGTATCTAGGTGGCTCAATCAGTTAAGTGTCCAACTCCTGATTTCAGCTCAGGTCATGCTGAGGTTTGTGGGGCCAAGCCCTGCATCAGGCTCTGGGCTGACAGAGCAGAGCTTGCATGGGATTCTCTCTCTTCCCTCCTCTGTTTGCACTCACTTTCTCTCAAAATAAACAAACTTAAAAAAAATGTCTAAAGCACCCAAAGCAATATAGACATTAAATGCCATCCTATGAAAATATGAACACCATTTTTCACAGAACTAGAATAATCCTAAAATTTGTATGGAAACACAGAAGACCCTGAAAGGCCAAAACAATCTAGAAGAAAAAAAAAAACCTGGAAGTATCACAATTCTGACTTCAAATTACACTACAAAGCTGTAGTAATCAAAACAGTATGGTATTGGCATAAAAATAGACACAAAGATCAATAGAACAGGACAGAAAGCCCAGATATAAACCCACGATTATATGGTCAATTATTCTATGAGAAAGCAGAAGAGAAAGTCCAATGGGAAAAAAAGAATACTCTTTCCAAAAAAAGGTGTTGGGAAAACTGGACAGCTAACCTGCAGAAGAATGAAGGGGACCACTTTCTTCCACCATACACAAAAATAAACTCAAAACAGATTAAAGACCTAAATGTGAGACCTAAAACCATAAAAATCCTAGAAGAGAGATCAGGCAATAATTTCTCTGACACTGGTTGTCGACATTTTTCTAGGTAGGTCTTCTGAGGCAAGGGAAATAAAAGCAAAAATAAACTCTTGGAACTACATCAGAATAAAAAGCTTCTGCATAGCAAAGGAAACAACAAGACTAAAAGGCAGCCTACTGAATAGAAGATATTCGCAAATAATATATATATAATAAAGGGTTAGTATCCAAAATACATGAAGAACTGTTACAACTCAACACACACACACACCACAAACAATCCTATGAAAACATGGACAGAAGACATGAACAGACATTTCTCCAAAGACATACAGATGGCCAACAGACACATGAAAAGATACTCAACATTATTCATCAAGGAAGCCTAAATCAAAAGTACAAATGAAGTGTCCTTTCACACACCTGTCAGAATGGTTACAATTGAAACCACAAGAAACAAGTGCTCATGAGGATGTGGAGAAAAAGGAACCCTCATGCACTGCTGCTGGGATTGCGAATTGGTGCAAAGTGGAAAAGAGGATAGAGGTTCCTCAAAAAAATTAAAAATAGAATTACCCACAGGGGCACCTGGCAACCTCAGTCAGAAGGCAATGCGACTCTTGACCTCTAGGTCATGGGTTTGAGCTCTGGGTTAGGTGTAGAGATTACTAAAGAAAATGAGTAAACTTAAAAAAAAAAAAAAAAAAAAGAACTACCCTGCAATCCAGTAATCACACTACCAAGTACTTACCCAAAGAATACAAAAACACTAATTCAAAAGGATATATGCACACTATGTTTATTGAAACATTATTTATAATAGCCAAATTACGGAAGCAACCAAAGTATCTACCAATAGAAGAATGGATAAAGAAGATGTAGCATATACATACAATGGAATATTACCCAGCCATAAAAAAGAATGAAATCTTGCCATTTGCAACAACATGGATGGAGCTAGAGTATAATGTTCAGCGAAATTAGTCTGTCAGAAAGACAAATACTGTATGATTTCACTCGTATATAGAATATCAGAAACAAAACAATGGGGCGCCTGGGTGGCTTAGTCGGTTAAGTGTCCGACTTTCGCTTGGGTCATGATCTCGCGGTTCGTGGGTTCGAGCCCCGCGTCGGGCTCTGTGCTGACTGCCAGCTCAGAGCCTGGAGCCTGTTTCAGTCTGTGACTCCCTCTCTCTCTAACCCTCCCCTGCTCACGCTGTCTCTCTCTCTCTCCTAGAAATAAATAAAACGTTAAAAAAAAAAAATCTTAAAAAAAAAAAAACAAACAAAACAAATGGACAAAGGTAAAAAAAAAAAAAAAAAAGAGAGACAAATCAGGAAAGAGACCGTTAATTATAGAAAACAAATTGATAGTTATCTGAGGGAAGGTACAGGGGCAGATAGGTGAAACAGGTGATAGAGATTAAAGAATAGACTTTACATGATGGTCACTTTTCATTATTCAGTAGTTGAATAATGTAGATTATTCTTGAGTCACTATACTGTACACTTGAAATTAATATAACACTGTATGTTAACTATACTGGAATTAAAATAAAAAACGTAATAAAAATTTTTTTTACAAAGAATATGAGGAAATAAGTACTATCATACACTATCTTTTAGGTTCCATTTGGTATGACCTGGCTGGCAAATCTGCAATATCCATTAATATCTTATATGGGTATACTGCAATCTCACTTCTAGAACAAAGAATGTCCATCATTTAGGTAAGTAGTTAAATAATTTATGTTATATCCAAATAATTAATACTATGCAGCCACTAAAAAGGAATGTTTAACTCAAAAAGAATGATCTGTCATGTTACATAGGAAAAAAGTTACAATCAATATATACTGTAGGACCTCATTAGCACAGAATAAAATCAAAACCCACTATGTGTATACATTCATAATTTCCGTATTTCTAAACTTATAAATATATACTTTTAAATGACACATTATTTACATATAGAGAGATAACTCTAGAAAGCATACATCAAAAAGTTTATAAATTATCTCTGGATAATAAGATTTTTAATGAGAAACAATTTTTCATATACTTCTGTAATGTTTGAACATACTAAACCAAACATATATTACTTTTACAACTAACAAAGTAACAGCAACAAAAAAATAATTTTCTATTTTCTTTTAATGTTCATACCTGCAAGGCCTTTTCTTTCTCATTTGTTAGTTCCTGGGAATGTTTATTTGACAATGCAGCTGTGTGTGATGCCCATTCATTCTGTAACTTATCTAATTCTTGGATTTTTTCTGATAAGGTCTGTATTAGAGTTCAATATAAAATATTAAGACAGTCTTGTGAATGTTATTAGCATAGAACATGGCAATATTTACAAAGGAAATTAAAGAAAAGGAGTCACAAGCTTTCCAAAATATACTCAAAGCCTTTTCCTACACAGATTATTTTTTTTTTAATTTGAAGAAATAAGATTAGAATAAAAGCAATTTTAGAGCTAGCATGGCCCAGAAGTCAAGCTTAACTATCTTTAACCTTTTAGTTAAATCTGGCTCTTCACCACCAAACCCTCTCCTCTGATAAAAAGATGTAAATGTCTACCCAGGGTAAAGCAAGTCAGTCATAAGGAGTGGTTCATTAATATACCTAAAACCTAGTAACATAGGTTCCTGGATGGGCTATGTTGTGCAGGACAATTTCCGCCTGAAGCCATGCCACTTTCAGATACTTTGGTCCTTACTTTCAAGGGGTATGGGCAAAAAGATAGTAGCTATGATTGAAATGATGATGAGCCTATCAAAATAATTCATAACACAAGTATGGAAAAGAAAGATTTAGAAGATGCGAATGGAAAAGTCATTCTAGACAGGAGGAATGAGGTGAATAAAAGAGCGACAAGCATGTGACAGGAACTATATATTATTTAATGAAGACTTGGAAGGAATGTGTTGTATACTGAAGTTAACAGAAATGTTTAGATGGAATCAAATATCAGAGAAAGCATCAGATTAAGATAATTTATTGGTAGGGGAAGGGTGGCAAAAAGGAGAAAGAATCAAAGACAACATGTTTTTAAAAATTAATACACAAAAGCCTAGATAAGATTCAAGAAGCAATTCAGAGCCAATGTTTGGATGACTTACAAAGACAAAATGAAATCTGAATTACCTTCTGTGTAAAATTCAGTTGCCTAGTAACATCATCTAGTGATTGCATCAATGATAATTTTTCTTCCTATTTATAAAAATAATAAAATTAAGCAGTTTACAATTTAATCATCTCTAGCTGTGCTACTCAAAGTATAACAAAATATGGTGTCAGCATCACCCTGGCAGTTTGTTAAAAATGCAGAATTTCAGCTTCCACCTCAAACCTTCTGACTCACAATCTGAATGAGCAAGACACCTAGGGGATTTCTGTACCATTAAGTTTGAGATGCTCTAATCTATAGCATTTGACTAAAGACTTTGTGAAAACTATTAAGAGGCATCCCAATGTTGCTTCTTTGCTGCATATACCTTACAAAGTCAAAGAGCACTCTGTAATATTCTTAAGACACTTTCACACATCTTTCCTCATTTGAGACAGGTGCAATAAGGTAGTAGATATCTCATACTTATCTATAAGCTGATAAAACCACGACACCAACAGCTTAAGTGAACTGCATCAGATTACAGAAAATTAATAAAAACAATGGAACCTAGTTTTTCAATTTTTGGTCCAATTCTATCCTCACTGTACCCTGACTAAAAAAAAAAAAAAAAAAAGAAAAGAAAAGAAAAGAAATTCCTTACATAGGCATCTTTAAAAGTACTTTACTCTGAAAACAGAAACTAATAGCAATATAGCTTTTCAGTGATTTATCAGAGACTTTTGGTACTTATTTTTTAAAAAAATAAATTTAAATCTTACCTTGCTACTTTTCAAACAGCAGGCTAAAAACTTCTTTATTTCCACATCATTTCCAGGTAAAAGTTTTAGTGATAAGTGTGTGAGATGCTTAAAAGGATTGGTCTCTACCACATTTAAGAAGGCAGGGGAGTTATCCAAAATAGATGCTGGAGAAACTAACTGCAGCAAAAACCTTTGAAAAGAAAGGGTCACAACATAACAATACTTATGAGACACTGAAACTTGCCCACTGAATCATAAACTCTAGCACATCATCAATAATTAGAATTATCAGGAAAGGGGGCATATAGGAATCAGAGGGGCCAACATAAAAGGACTCTCAATGGTTAAAGTGAATAAACTGATATAAATAGTAAAATGGAAAAACTGGGCAAGAAACAGAAAAAGAATTCACTGAAACAGTGAATATACAAATGTCCCTGAGTTCATTATGAAAGACAGATACAAAAACAAAAACCCACTGAAAGCACATAGTAGTAACTAGAGTAACAACTCTTTACTCTAAAAATTGGCAATTTAAAAGAATTAAGCATTTATCCTCTCCTGTATGAATTTTCAGAGTAATCAAATAGCCCAAACAGATGAAGTTCTTCTTTATAAAAAAAATTATACCTAATATAAAAAGAATGGCAAAATTAAAAATGCATAACTTTGTAATTCCTAATGAAATAATTGATTCAAACAATCATCAATTGGTGACACCAAAGGACAAAAGGTTGGTGAAATCTGCAGTGAAAGGATCAGGCTTTAGCATCACACGAATATACACGTGTTTGTATGTGTATATGTATACGTAAATTTATATATGTATTCATATGTAGATATGAATAGACACCAACACAAAATCTTATTCTCCTTTTCCAAGTTTATTATCATCCAACACATATTTGATGATGTTAAGTATTTCAGTGGCTCTGTCAAGACATGAAAATTGAGGGGTAAATATTTCTGATTTTAACCATGATTCCTTAAAATCTGGTATTTAATAGAGCCCTAAACCCAGTTTTAAAAATAGACAGGGGTACTTTTAACACATAGAAAATATTTTGCCATCAGTTTGTCTTACAAAGAAGAGTCTGTCTTGAGAGAATTTTAATGATGCAGAGCTCTCCTGAGACTTACCTTGGAATTTCTTTGGCATGTTCTTGAGTACACTGCTGAAGGAGATCAATAAATTTTTGTGGGAAAGCTAAAAAGTCTACCAGAAGGCCTTGCTGGAATTTTAAACTATATAGAAGACAAGAAAAGAGAATTTTAAAATTTATAATTACTATCTTTAATTGTAATTAAAACCCTGAAATATCCTTTTTTAATTTACTGAACACCTATTATAATCATGAACTAAGCTAGGGAACTTTGATTTTTATAGAATTTATTCAGTGGGAGGGAAAAGGTCAATATACTTAGCTGAAGTTCCAAATTTCTGGGCTGCTTGAAGCAGAACTCCAGGAAGCTGTGAAATATTTACTTTCAAAAACATCCTGGGGCACCCGGGTGGCTCAGTTGGTTGAACGTCTGACTTTGGCTCAGGTCATGATCTGTCAGGTCACCCAGGAGACTGCTTGGATTCTGTGTCTCCTTCTCTTTCTGCCCCTCCCCCACTCGTACTTGGTTTCTGTTTCTCTCTCTCTCTCAAAACTAAATCAAACATTTTTAAAAAACCAGAAAAACAAATTTAATTACCTCTGAAAATCTTCCTCAGATATAACAAGGTTATATAGAAAAAATGGATCGGTATCATCAGTCAGACGGATAACTAAATCCTAAAAGAAAGATTATTATTTTTTAATGTTTTCAATAGGTCTGGCTTTTAGTGTAATTCCTTCCTTCTTGGAAGTGAGATTATCCAATAACAACAATGTGTCACCATTATACTTCAGGTAGATATTCTGCTCCATGAAAGCCTTGTGGGGGTCTATGAAAACTAATTAAATACCAGAGTTGAAAGTTAAGGAATACTTAGAAAAACTGAGACCCAGTCTTTGTTGCACTATACCATGACAAAAACATTCAACCACTGACCATATCATATTCAAATATATTTTCAGTTTCCTGCAAGTTAATTGTTTGATATTTCCAAAGTGGCAATACATCAGCTGAAACCAAGTAATGATCTATCCTAGAAAAGGAGCATTTGTCTCTCAGGCAGAGGACAGGGGTATCAAGTAACACGTTGCCAAGGCTTCATCCTGAGGGCCTATTCTCTCTTACTCCAGGTGGCCGTTGACATGGAAGCCCATCTGTTTTCAGTTTCAACTTAAGTGAATATCTTTCATAAAGACCACTTTCTATGTAAATTTACAGTGTGGCAGAGCATTACAGTGGCTAAAGCGGACAAAGAAATACACAAAAATTACATGTCTGCAAATAACGTAGTAAGGAAAACAGGCATAGCAATAAGATGATGGAGGCCTAATAAAGAAGTAAGGTTAAGAATAAGCTCCCACTTTGAAATAGAATCTACTCATGGCTACTGAGGAACTGCTGGGGTTCTAGAAAAACCTAAACCACTTATGAGCAGTTAGAAAATGAAGAGGTACAGCAGGCCTAAGGAAGTATATGTAGGAAATATAATATATAATCTCTACCCCAGAAAATTCGCCATCTAGGTATTTGCTCTGTCTCAGAAGGTCCTGTTCTTAAGACAGTTTCTACTTAGGTACTTCTTGAAATCCACCCCAAAATGCTATTAAAAACTGAAACTACTACTTATACCACAAAGTCCTTGAATCTTCTCATGTAGGGAAAGCTATGATACAGAGAAAATAGATGCTGTATTTCTTATCATCTATTCTGTATCCATATCACTGTTAATGATCATATGGGGACTGATGCTCTAAATGCCTCCTTTCAAAAAGCAAAGATTCAAAAAATATCCCCCTGCAGTGCTTCAATTCATTCTATTCTCACATTTACACCTTGAAATGCCAACTCTATAGGGTAGGAAAATATATATTTTAGCAACTTATAAGTGCATTGGGAAAACTTAGCCCCCCCCCCCAAGTCTCCCAATCCCCAATTCTTCCTGTATGCTTTAGAAATATATGGTACAATCAGCTCTCACCCATGGTCTTTATAGTTCTAACACCCCAGATTTGCAAGTTACAAACTGGGCCAAAACTAAAATGCAAGGAGAGTGTAACAAAAGACCTCACATTCTTAAAGAACAAAAATAATTATAATGTACAGAAATTAGTATTTTAAAAAAGGAAAAAATGTGTTTCAAAAGAAATCAATACCAACCTTTCTGTGAACTGGATTAGAAACTGATTGTAGTTCAATGCTCACTCTAACACTTACTCTCCTGGATGAAAAGATATACCCAACTGTCAGAAACATTTGCAAAGAATGAGTTATCACTGTCATTTGCATTATCTGAAGTTTTTCTATATTAAGCTGCAAGATCTTCCACAGATGTTCCCTACATTAAAAACAGATATTTGGAAAGCACACTGGATTTGAAGTTTTAAGTTCTTATTCTTTCACTAACAGGTAATCAGATTTTTAACCAGTAACTATTTATACGTTTCTCTCTTGTAAAAAGGGGTTGTTGTGAGAATTAAATGAAATAAACGACGTGGAATTCCCATTACTAGCCTGGAATATAACCTTACTGCCCTGATTCGAAAATAGCATCTACTGAAAGCCAGACAAACTATTAATAACAATTTTCCACATTAAAAAAAAAATCACCAGTTGATCAATTGATCAAACTGATTTATGGGAGATTCCATTTGAAAAACTAAATATATTAATTATATTAAAAACTAATATGTTAGCATTAGAATATATGGCATGTTTATAATTAAGGAAACAAGATAACATACTCCTTCTCTTATGCATATACAAAACCCACCAACTACATTTGCTCAATATACTCCCTATTCAATATATCCACAGAAGTACTGTCAACAAGTTTATTGTCGACCTTAACTCAGATGCAGAGTAATTCTAAACTCTTTTTTATTTTAAAACATTAAAAATTTTTTTAATGTTTACTTTTGAGAGAGAGAGAGATGGAGACAGAGTGTAACCAGGAAAGGGTCAGAGAGAGAGACACACACACAGAATCTGAAGCAGGCTCCAGGCTCCGAGCTCTCAGCACAGAGCCAGACACAGGGCTCAAACTCACAAACAGTAGATCGTGACCTGAGCTGAAATCGACACTTAACCTGAGTGAGGAAGCCACCCGGGTGTCCCTAAACTGTATCTAAAGAGACTATAGCTTTTTCACGGTCTCTACTGCATCTTAGGGAATTCAACATCAAACAGTGGCATATAAATAAAGGTGCTCAAAACCATTAACCAAACTGAGCAAAAATGTTTAAATAATGGAAATAAAAGCAATATTGGTGAAAAAAAAATCTCTGCAGAAGTATCCTGTATCTTCCTAGAATTAAATACCAATAGCTTTTTCCTGATTGGTAGGAAACAAAAGTAAATGAAAGTAAAAGCAGAATTTATTCCATTTTAGGCTACTCTTCTAAAGATGTGTTTTAGGGGCACCCAGGTGGCTCAGTCCATTAAACTGTCTGACTTCAGCTCAGTTTGGGAGTTCAAGCCCTGCATTGGGCTCTGTACTGAAGGCTCAAAGCCTGGAGCCTGCTCAGATTCTGTGTCTCCCTCTCTCTCTCTCTCTGTCCCTATGCCACTCATTCTGTTTCTGTCTCTCAAAATTAAATAAAAGCATTAAAATAAAAGATTAAAAAAAAGATGTGTTTTAAATTTTCCCCACATTCTGCGACTTATCTACTACAGAAGTAAAAAGTATAGACCAAGTATTGATGGAAAACATTGGTAATAGTTGACCAAAGCTAGATTCAATTGTTCAGATTTTTTTATGCTCTAACTTAAAATTTTTATATTGCCTTAAAAATGTCATTTTAATTAAGTTTCCCATTGAACATATGATTGGTTGCTAAATCTTAGTATGATGAGGTTACCATATAGTAAGGTTACCATAACTCGTTATCTGAAAAGGAATGAGCAGCAATGGCATAGATAGGAAGAATTAACAGTAAAACCTTGGATGGCAAGTAACTTGTTCTGCAAGTGCTATGCAAGACAGCAACATTTCTAATAAATCTTAACTTGATACACGAGCTATGTCATACAATATGAGTAGTACGTGATGCTGATATCCCATGATCACAAGTGAGCCAATGGTTCTTCTCTCTGTGGGATTGTTGGTGATCCTTTCCCATGCTTAGATGCTCAGTCTCAAGCTGCAGTGTTTGGCAGAAATCAGTGATTTTTCACAACGTTGGAAAGTGCCCACAACTGGCCCTGGTGTATTTTTTGTCACTTCAAAGCACCTATGGACAGCTTTTCCACACAAGAGTAAGCTTAGGAATGCCTTGCTTCATTCCAGGTCAGGTTGTCTGCACCCTTTCCTCTGCTGCTTTTATTGCCAGACACATTAAATACAGTGTACGACAAGAGTTTATTAATACTGTAGTGTAGTCAACATCCATGCAAGTGTATACAATGGCTCCCACACAGAAAAGGGTTTTTGAAAAGAAAGGTAGTAAGAAGGAGGAGATGATTACGGTGGAAGTTAAGAGGGAAATTGTATATGAATGGCAAAAATCACAGACGTCTGCATCTTGTCTGCAGAGGAAGAGGAGAAAGAGGCAGAGAAAAACCTTCATTTCAAATGTGATTAGGGACATGTGTATAATGTGAAACAGTGCAAAATTTTGTAGAAAAGCACCGCCCAAATAAGGCTGTCGCAGTGTGAGCAATCAATCTGTTTAACAACAATGCAATGTCACATATTACTGAAATCCTCAAAAAGAGCCAAAAGTCACTGGTTAAGTTCCTTCTTAAAGTTGCACGAAAGAAAGATTCTACTGAGCCAATAGACACACCAGTGATTCCATTAGTGATAGTCCAAGTTGTCCTCTCTATCACATCAGCCACGAAGGTTTTTCAAAGGTAAGTGGAGGTTAATTTATTTTTCTTCACATTTTGTATTTTATTTTCCATTATATTACAGTATCATAATCATTTTTTTTAAGTTTATTCATTTATTTGGGGGGGGGAGGGAAGAGAGGGAAAGAGAGCACCCCAAGCAGGCTCTCCACAATGTCAATGCAGAGCCCGACTCGGGGCTCAAACTCACCAACCAGCAAGATCATGACCTGGGCTAAAGTCAAGGGTTGGGTGTTTACCAACTGTGCCACCCAGGCACCCCTCGTAATCATCTTTATATGAATATTTTGGGGTTATGGAATGAATCATCAAGTTTCCATTATTTCTTATGGGGAAATTTGCTTTTATATACAAATGATTTGGATGACAAGCATGTTTCCAGAACAAATAATGCCCACAAACCAAGGTTTTACTAAAACAAGAGAATGTTTTTTATCTGTTTTTCTAGTATCTATAGTATTATATGTGAAACATTAAATTTCTACTCCAATTCTACTTAAATTAAGTGTTCTTGGGGGAAAAATAACCTTTCAATTTCCTAATTTGTAAGATAAGTGAACTGAGTTAGGTTTGTGAGGGGCTTTTCAGATCTGCAATGTCATTATGTTTGTTTTTGTCTTCTGAAGTTTTCTCTAAAACATGCTGCCATAGAGGGCATGATACTGTAGTAGATAACTTTGTATGGTGATGTACACTTTCTAAATTCCTATAGGGACACCTGAGTGGTTGAGCATCCAACTCTTGATCTCGGCTCAGGTCATGTTCTCAGGGTCATAGGATCGAGCCCCACATCAGCACTCTGTGCTGAGCATGAAGCCTGATTTTTTCTCTCCTTCTGACCCTCTCCCTCTCTTGTGCTCTCTTAAAAAAAAAGGGGGGGGGAGGACACCTGGGTGGCTCAGGCGATTAAGTGTCCGACTCTTGGTTTCAGTTCAGGTTCAGTTCAGGTTATGGTCTTGCAGTTCCTGAGTTCAAGCCTTGTAATAGGCTCTGCACTGACAGTGTGGAGCCTGCTTGGGATTCTCTTTCTCCCTCTCTCTGTCCCTTCCCCACTGGTGCCATCTGTCTCTCTCTAAATAAACAAACTTAAGAAGAAAAAAAGGAAAGAAAAGCTTTAAAAAAGTCCTGTCATACTTGATAAATTTGTTAAAAAAAGAAAAAAAGAAGCCAACTAATATAGTATTCCTAAGATAATACTAGAAGAATCACATTAATGATCAGCAATGATATTGTTGCATATATTCCAAGTATCTATAATACATTAGCTTTGGGAGAAAAAGGGAGGAGGAAAGGCCCATACATTAAACCTCTTCCCACAACCCCAGAGTATACTGTAGAAAAATCTGAGCTTTCAGAAAATACAGTATTTAAAACCACAAATCTTATTTTCTCCATTATAATGGTTATTATAGGAACAATATAAAACAAATCAATAAAAAATCCTATTTCTCAAAATAAATGTCACACTCAGACGCCTGGGTGGCTTAGTCGGTTAAGCATCCGGCTTTAGGTCATGTCATGATTTTGCAGTCGGTGAGTTTGAGTTCTGCATTGGGTTCTGTGCTGACAGCTTGGAGCCTGGAGCCTGCTTCAGATTCTGTGTCTCCCTCTCTCTCTCTACCCCTCCCCTGCTTGCACTCTGTCTCTAGCAAAAATAAACATTTAAAAAAATTAAATATATATATATATATATTTTTTTTTTTAATTTATTTCCAGGAGAGAGAGAGCGAGCGTGAGCAGGGGAGGGTCAGAGAGAGAGGGAGATACAGACTCTGAAGTAAGCTCCAGGCTCTGAGCTGTCAGCACAGAGCCCGACGCGGGGCCCGAACCCGCGAACCGCGAGATCATGACCTAAGCAAAAGTCGGACGCTCAACCGACTAAGCCACCCAGGCGCCCCAAACATTTAAAAAAATTAAATCTTAATAAACAAATGTCATACTATAAACAATACATAAATTCGCATAACATTCTCCCTATCAGTTAGATTTGGCATTAGCAGAACTAGATTCTAGACCACCTCTGCCACCTAGGAGCTGTGACCTTCAACTCTCAATTCAGACAAATAAAAGCCACTCTATGCCAGGTAGTATGCTGGATGCTAGGGATACAAACAAATAAATACGATCCATGTCCTCAAATTGAGATCAGATTAAATGACTCCACTCAGATATGCCTGATTTAAGTGCTTCAAGAAAAGGAAGGGAAGGGTTACTAACACTTAACTGAGTACCTACCAGGTGTTTTACACATATTTGACTTAATAATGTTAAGTAAATATCATGTGCTGTTTTACAAAGGAAGAAAATGAGGTGCACAGGTTACAAATACGGTTAAGGTCACCTTACAGAGTGCAAATTAGAACTCAGACC